ATATATAACATTTTACAATTGTATTTTTGGTCTGTTATTTTAAATAAAAGTGTGGTTATTTTGTTTTGTTTTGGATTTTTTCCAATTAAAATTATTTTAAATCCATAAAAATAATTAAATGTCTAATATAATACATGCAATTATAAAAAAAAATTAAAAAGGTGGAAAAAAATCATTTTCGATTTTGGCCTGACAAAACTCTACTACGCGCGGTAGTACAATGCCGTGTGTTCCAGTGCAGTGCAATTGCAAGAAGTTGTGCATGCAGTTTTATTCTGAAGTAAACTTTATGTTTGCAACACTCCATTTGTATATTTTAAATAAAAGATAATATTCATGAAAATAATCTTTGGTTGCAGCCCTAGATCAGATGATTACACTGAAAACAACTTCACCTTATTTACTAAAGCTAAATGTATGTAGTGTCCATTTAGTTTGTGAGTTAAACATGCTCTACTTCTTTAGTATATCAACTGCTTTGCATACCCTCCTCATGTATCACTTGCCCCTCCCTTTTAGATTGTAAGCCCTCAGCGGCAGGGCCCTCCTTACCATCTTGTCTTAAATTGTATTGTGATTGTAAGGTCTTTCTTATATTGTAAAGCGCTGCGCAAACTGTTGGCGTTATATACAACAATAATAACAATACTAATAATAATACCCAATCCGGTTCAAGGGATATACAAGAAATAACAGTATTTTGTTTGTGCCTGATTTTTATGATTAAAGTCAACATAACTTTATCTTTTGCACTAAGCTAAGCGAATGTACATTTTTCTAGAAGAACGGTCTCTACTCCTTTGGTATATCAACCTCACTAAATAAACATTCCCTTTACAAAGTGAACAGTCTCTAATCCTTTAGTAAATCGACCACAGCCATTCCACAGCCCATCCCATCTCTCTACTATAATAATAATTATTATTATTACTATTGTTATTATTATTGTTATTATTATTTTGATGTTACAAGGTATCATTGGAGTGTATTAACCAAAAGAGTACAGACTCTTGTTTACTTAGCAAAGTGAATGTTCACTATTCACTATGCAAAGTGTTTGTTTGTTGAACTTGGTAAATAGGATAAAGCTGTTTTTGCTTTGAATAATTCTAATCACGTGGAATGAAATTTAAAAAAAAATGTTTTTTTTTCATTCACACTGAATGATAAACACAGCTTCCCCGTATTTACTAAGCTCAGTAAACATTCACTTACAACAGTAAACCTGGCCATACATGGTTAGAATTTTCAACAAATGTTCATACTAAAAATCTTGTCAGAACATTCAGTAATGAGACTAATGACACTGGGAATTTCATATTTGGTCTTAACATTCAGTTTTGGAATGAATGGAGTTTCCAGAATGAAAACCACATTCACTGTTAGAATTGAAATTGTTCAAGAAAATAATCCTGCTCCATCGGTTTTTTTCATTACTGTGGTCAAAATCAATCATCAATCTGACCCCATGAACTATTAGAAAATTGAATGAACGTCTTGAAAATGATTGTTTTTGAACAAAATTTTAACCATGTATACCCAGGCTAAGTAGCAGAGGTGGCTTACCTAGCAAAGTAAATGTTTCCTTTGAAAAATGTATATTCACTTTGAAAAGTAAATGTTCTGAATAGGGTGAAACTGTGTTCACTTTGATTAACCAATCATGTGCTACCAGAAAAACCTGTTTACTTTTTTTTATCTCTCGCACAAGATTGGGTATTCAAAGTGAACACAGGTTCAACATATTTATTTTTGCAGAATGAACATACACTTTGTTAGGTGGACAGCCTATATTTCTTTACTAAATCAATCCCATTGTCTAGCCCCGCAGGATGGTAGCTTATTGATTGAAGGCTGTGGAGAGCTGCGTAAACTGATATCATGGGCACTGAACTATTATACAAATCTCTGCACAGGATGTCAACTCTTTCCCACTCTGAAGACATCTTTATATGTCGTCTATGAAGCTCCATTAAACTGGGTTGGATATTCCCTACTGATAATCTTAAAGTGACACTAAACTCAGGAATTAAATCTTAGAAATGCATTCAAGTACCTTAACTATTAACAAATATGTATCTTATTTGTGTATCACTCGGCTGTAGATTCTCAAATCATCTCTGAATTGGTGCTGACACTGTCCTTCCTTCTGGAGGGGGGCTACTTTTGTTCCCCATGTTACCTGTGTGTAGCCACCCTTCAGAAGAAGGGACAGTGTCAGCATAAAATTCAGAGATGATTTCCGGATCTACAGCTGAGCGATACACAAATAAGATACATTTTTGTTAATAGTTAAGGTACTTGAATGCCTTTCTAAGATTTAACTCCTGAGTTTAGTGTCACTTTAATATTAAAAGGGTCAATAAACTGAAAACTAATATTCCATCTTAGGCAACACTCACTGGCTTCTTATACTTTCCAGGGTCTCTGGAGACAAGCTTTGTGCCCCTTAAACCAGATATTCCATTATCAAACTCTTTACCAGAAAAGGATATGAATGCACCAAAATCTTTATTGATATTTTTCTAATGGGGTTAAAGGGTGTTAAAATGTACAAGGCAGACGTGGCACTGAAGCGGAAGATTGCCTTCCCTCTATTCAATACTATAAATGTCTGGAAGGAAAGAAGACAAGATTCATTAGTGACAACACAAGATACTAAGCATCACAGTTTTACAAAATTAAACACTTGTAACGCATTATTCGGTAAAGCAGAACAGAATATGTACAGTGCAGTCACATTAGCAAATGATCCGTAATCACCTTCTATTAAAGTGCAACTGAAACCAAATCTTTTTTTCCAGTTTTGGATAGAGTGGAGAGAGATCAGAACAGCGGTCAGGTTTTTAATTGCAGTCTGTGTCCCCATGAGGGAGATTCATCCTGGATACCGCTTTGACTGAGAGTGATAGTGAAAGAAGATCCAAATTTTGGGTTGTCAACAGCAACTGGAATAGATGGGAAATATTCCAATTGGGACACTAGTTCTGGTGACCATGCTGATCACCAGGGATTTCCCTTTCTTTGGAGGAATTTCCTCTCACTTCCTGTTGTGACTATCAGACCCCCAATGGGACACAGATGACAAAACAAAAAGCTGACGGGGAATATAACTAGGGAGGCACCAATACCGATACTAGTATTTATATCGGTGCGGATACCAAGTATATAGGTGAGTACTCATACTCGCCCAAATGCTCCGGTACTTACTCCCGATACCGGAACTTCCGGTCAGAGGGAAAGTTCGACCGGCTTCCTGAATGGTCGGGAAGCGGGCTCCATGCTGTTTGGCCGAGTCGATGCTGATTGGCTTGAAAGCCGGCTTCCCAGCCAATCAGCATAGAGCCGGACAAACAGCAGGGAGCCGGCTTCCCGAACAATCAGAAAGCCGGGCAGTGGCTAATGACTCGCCTCCCAGCTTCCTAATTGTCCGGGAAGCCGGCTCAATACTAGCGGAAGTACCGGTATCAGTGATAACCGCAAGGTAAATGTCGGTACTCGTACTCTATACTGAAAGACCGATATCGGTGCATCCCTAGTTGTAACCTTTCCTTACTGTATCCAAAACGAAAACATTTCTACTTTCATCTCATTACACTAACCTACAAATTTAGAGCTGAACTCCAGGCAAACAGATACATAAACAGATGAAATATATATATATATATATATATATATATATATAAATGTATAAAATCA